TAAAATGAATGACACAAAGTGAATGACACAAAGTGAATAAAACAAAACGAATGACACGAAGTGAATGACACAAAGTGAATGACACAAAGTCATCTGTGTGCGATTCCAGGGATTTCAGCAGCAACTCTTGTTTAACATTCACATCTCCTCACAAAGAAAAGTTGAACATGGGTACCTCTGAGGGAAGGCTATAGTTATTGCGCTGTTTGAGCGTGATATGGCAGAATCTGGCTAGGATACTCCTTGGGGAGCCAAGATGAACCCAGGGAACAGGGATGCGTCTGTAACAGACTTTGTGCTAAATGGAAGCGCTTTTTAAATGTACATTTATATTTCTATTATCTGAAATAAAATTGAGTTTTCATGAGTACGCTAGTTTAGTTAGCTTTAAATGAAATCATCCTATAGTTTCTTTGTTTTAAGTATAGAGTACCCTGAGGGAATATTAATTCATCATAGTGCACTCGCAAAATGCAATACTGCTATTATGCAAGAAGAATTTGGACCGACTTAAGGGGCTTTCTGATGCCCTTGCACTATTCTTGGTCCTCATAATGGCAAACTTTGAGATGCTGATGGCAGCAGACATACCAGTCCTTCATCAAATTCAAAATAACACCACCAGTGGCAATTTCCCCAAATTGTTTAGACACATTGTTGGAAATGACAGTCATTCTTTCAACATGGCAACTTGCCTGGAGGAATTACTCCACTGGGAGTTTAGTCTCGTCATCCCATTCAAACCGAGTATGCTTTTCAACAATTAATCTGTCAGTTACATTGTGGACAGCTGCAAATGCACAGCTTTGCATGTACATGAACAAATGTACATACATGTACATGAACAAATGTACATGTACATCAACATGAACAAAATGTACATGTGCATGTACATGTATAGTAGATTGTGGTGTTTACAGACCTGCAAGTTGCCAACAGAGGACCAGCCGCTGACAATGGAATACATGTACATGTATACCTGTGTACATGAGCCGCGTGCATAATACTGTACCAGTGTACAGGTGCCTATTTTTAGCAACTGTAGTATTGAAGGCCACACTTCAGTTGAGTAAGCAGGTTTGGAAAAAGTCAACCAAGTCGGGTCCTTGTCCAATTTGTATGGGTTATCTGCACTGGTGAACTTTGCTCAGTGTTCGATGGTTGGTACTTGTGGTAAGGACTGACAAATCTTTTTCACTGCATCAAATTGTGCATGATTGATATTGTTGTGTTCAGAACGGCAACGAGGGGTGAAACGTAAAAACCCCCCTTGCAGTGGTACATCTTCATGTCACATACTCGTAAATATTGGTACAATAACATCTGATTGTCATGCAGTTGCAATTTCACATTTATTTGCTCTGAGCTAAGTAATTAGTCATCTTTTCGATGAATATACAACTATTTCTGATGAGATTGAGATAGTGAGATCCACCTTGCCAAGTTTTGTTTGGTATCTGGCAAATCAGATAAAAAATCAAATTTATGGAGGTAACGTAGTCAGCAGCACTTACACAAAGCTGTATAGCTGCTGTAATCAGTTATAATAAAGATGTTATTGAAAACTGTACACTCTTCAAACGACAAATGCATCGTCAAAAACTGAAAATGTGTACGCCCTACATACAAACAAAGCCAGATATCAATAATTTTAAAAAACCCAGTAAAAGTCAATTTTGCATTGTTTCCCACAACGGAAATGATCCCTATATCATCATTCATTGTTATACGTTATAATTTGCATTTTATGAATACGTAGAATAATACAGAGGAGATTTTTAAATAATCTTCTGAAAAGAACCACTAATTTAAGTTAAGCCTTCTAAAACGCCTTGGAAGGAACAGATACATGTACAAATTCCTTCTTTTAAATAAGATTTTGCGGATATTTAAGTGGATATGAAGTTCATTGGTACATATTGTGACAGGCAGACTGATTTAACAGATTTCATTGAATTTGTTCGACAGCAAAAACATCTTTTGGATATTGGAACAGATCTGTTACCCAGCTGATCAGATATGTTACTATACTACTCTGAGATATTCCATGTAAAACAACAACGATGGTTTCATGTTATCAGTTTTTCGTGAAATTACAACTACGGTAGATTACCACCTACCTCTTAAAATTCTTTATTTACAGATTCTACAAGTTCCATATTTTACTATAAAAAAGTGGATAATACTATTCACCATAACTTCAGGAATATGCGGCGCAACTTCAGCACGCAATATACAATCCTTCTCGGAAAGCATATGCTCTATGATTCACACGTATAGAAAACCGGGAATTGATGACATCATCTCATTTTGGTTGAGGTCAGCCTAAAATTTGCACGCCGAATTTGTAATCAGTAACGTATCTGGTGTAGGGTATCTGGCCTGCTCATGTTGAAAGAGGCTTCCCTTGACAATGACAAAATGTGTGATCCTACCTACTTCTTCCACAGCTTGAGCAGTCATTATCCAACACACTGTTGACTGCTAGGCACGTTTGAGGTCAGCTGCCATCGGATGTTTCCAGAGGAAAGGGAAACGGGTACCGAGAAACGTATCTGGGGCTACTCATATGTAACACATGGACTTTTTGGGTTAACGGTTTTTTTTTTTTTATTTCAAAAGTTATTAGATTTATGCCATATTTACAATATAATCCCCAGTTCGGTCGAGTCTGTGAGCAACTTCAAAGGGCGTGTTCCTCGAATGTTAAGTCTTTCTGTCATTCGGAATAAATGGTAACGTGTCTGGCTATGAAATCGGCGACATGTGCTCTGAGGGCAATAAGGACAAATAAATGAGCTAAACATTCCCAATTTATTTTATATTTAACCCTAACCCTCAATCCTTCACCTGTTGGAGGATTGAGGAGGGTTAAGGCATACTATGGGCTAATAATAAAATAGGGTAATCACTGGTATGCACGAATGACGGACGAATAGGAGAGTATTCATGAAAAGCACTTTGGCTGGCGACACGAGAAAATGGCAATAAATATCACCTTACTGTAGCCATTTCTTGGAATTTTCTTGATTTATAAACCTACATGGGTTTCTGAAACAAAACTCAGCCATGAAGAAAATTCGTATAAAGCATTATCAAACACACTCCATACTTCAAAAAAACACGAGTAACACAAAAGTGACACATTTGAACGCTTCAAATTGTTCTTTCCTGAGCTTTCGACTTTTCTACTGGTAAGCAGTATTCCAGTGGTGAACTTTTGGTCTATTGCCTATTCGTTTTGTCAAATAGCTTCTCTTTCTTCAGTTTATCTTTAATGTTCCTGCTCTCCTAGAAGATCACATGATGCTCTTTGTATCCACTGCCTTTAATCTCTGACTAGTACACCAGTGTGGACACTCCCAGTAAACTTTTCAGGAGATCAGCAGGATGTTGGGACATTTATTAATCCCTAGTTGTTCACACCTTACCCAAGCTGTGAAAGCCATAAACTTCTGGGGAGTGCTCATCTGCCTAGATACTAGATGACCAATCAGTGCTGGAGTCGTGTGACATTTCTTAAGTTGTCCAATGAGAGCCCGTGCAAGTCATGTGGCAAGGACATGTTCTGGTTGGCAGTTTGCCCCAGAGTTTTGGCAAGCCTGGCATTCCAATCTTTGCCATTGTGCTGACTTCATGCCTGACTTCATGCCTTTTTTTTTCTTTGGACCCGAGGACCTCAAAATCCAAGTTGACCCCTTATGTTCAGGAGTGTTAACTCTCAATCTTAATTAGTTACGTTTGAGTTATTTATATCATTTTATACTATTGTGTATCTCTTCTGGGGTTTCGTCATTGCATTTTTCACTGTGACTCCTGTAAATTGTGAAAAGAAGTGTACGGGTTGATTTTATGAAGTCTAGACTTTGGGATATTTTGAGAAGTCCAAGCAAATTTATGATGTTGAAGGTTTTGGCACAGGTATCTTGTAATTTCCACTAGCCAGTAATGTTCTGAGACTACATCCAAAAGAGATGTTTCGTCGGAAAGTTTTGCTTTTACATTTAACATAAGACTAAATGTAAAAGGCACCTGTGGCATTAATCACCAGCATCAACCTTGCAAGATCCACAAATACTCCTTTGCATTTCTTTTTTCTGCTGAACTTTTGCTCTTCACTTTTGCCAACTGGCTAGGCAACACACGGACTCCTGTTCTCCCACCTTGGAACGACTCGTCGCAAATCATCTCTGCATCTAGAACTTTGGCGCCATGTTTTCCTTGAGCTTAAAGTGTATTCTAACCTAACAGGATCCTGCGTTTTCTGTAAATCTCCTATTATAATTAATGGCAATCTGGCTTGGCGTTCTCTGGAGCTACATGTACTTCATATTTCTCACAGTGATTGGCTTGTTTATTCCCTGCAATAAATCAAAATCTCTTTTGTCTGTAAATCCTGCATTGTGTGAGGTCAAGAGTTTTTCAAAAGGGAATTAAATTAATATGGAATTTGGTTCCTGCTATTTTGAAATGTGAACCGTGGGCTACACATGTCCATGGACATGTTCATGGTGCGTGTCCATGTACAGTACTTGTACATTTACATGTGTAATTTCTGTTAAGAATTGCAAACCCGCAAAGTCCAAAAAAATGAAACTTGGAATTTCCAGCCTCACCAAGGGATGTCCTCAACTTCCCCATTTCCTGTATTTTCTTTTTTTCAATTCTACTGTGATATTAAACCACACACATGTACATATGTACCTGTAGCAGGGTGCATGGTACTATGCACGTACTGGTACCGCTACCTTGTACATGTAGGTGTCTGTATCCTTTACCAGTCTGGTCCTTGCTTTGTGGTAGAGTGCACCAGTTTGAAAGTGTTTGAGTAGGAAATGCCTGTGATCAGCATTCTGCAGATTTAGGGACGTGCCCAGGGATACATTTTACACAAATGAACAAGTTCATGTGAATCAAATGAAACATGTGTACGTACATGCCGTTAACAGAATAGAAACAGGTGCGAGAAATGTACTGTGTCTGTACGTAGAGTAAAATCTCGATAAGTCGAAGCCCGGTAAGTCGAAACTCCGTTTACCTCGACATCTTTCTGTATTCCCGACAAAAGAATAGGCCTTTATGTACAATAAACTATCTGTAACTCGAAACGGCAACACCACTAAATCCGCTTATCTGGAAGTTTTGGCAGGCCAATTAAAAAACAAACTCGAAAGAATGATGAATAAAAAGTGATGCAAGAACGTTTGCCTTCATTATGAGTCATTACTGTCACCCGAACGGCTTTTCTTTGATGAGCCGAGCATGTTCACACGGGAGTTCTCAAGACGTAGACACAGGTACCGGTACATAACTCCATTGGGTTATTGTTTATTAATGTGCCACATAAAAACATGTTTAATGATGATGTTTGAGGAAAACTTGCACAGTAGGGATAGCCTAAAATCCACTTCGTCTTCGACTCAGCTTGCAGGCCAACTGGCGTAAACCAGTAAGGTTGCACGTGCACTGAAGCGAGTAACTTTCGATAACTCGAACGTCGGATAACTCGAACTTTTCGTCCATTCCCCTGAGCTTCGACTTATCAAGATTTTACTGTCTGTGCATGTATATGTAGGTTCATGTTGTTCAGTCAGTCCTCAGGCTTCTTGAAAATTGCCAGGAAACTGAATTTGTTTTTTGGTTCCCCATGTTTGATGCTTTTGAAATTGTACTGTGTACATTTGTACATAAATTTGTACAGGATAAAAATCACACAAGAAAGATTGTCCAACGTACAGGGGTATGCTACGTACATGTACTTGTATGTAACTGTTAAGGGGTCCTAAAGAACTCCGACAGAGATGACCCTTTGGCCCCAAAAGTACTGTGCTGTGTCATTTTTACCTTTCCTATCCCCACAGTGTCCTGCAAGGGCACCAAGATGGTAGCCCAGAGGGACAGAACTTGGTCCCCCATGGTGTGACCCAGGGCGTGGCCCAGGCCCCGCCCGCAGTTCTACCACAGCCTGCCGACCTCGGCACTGCCAGCCCATCACTGACCGGCAGCCGGCCTGCGGTTGTGGCCAAGAGTGTCCCCGCCCCTGTCACTCAGACTCAGATCATCTATGATGACCGGCAGTACAGCTCGCAGCTTCCGCTCCCCATCCACGAGTCTCGTCTAGGCTCCCCCCCCCCCCGCCCTGACAGTCCAAGAGCCAAACCCCGTGAATTGGCCTGTTTGTCTAGCCCCTCGGTGCTTTTCATTGTGCTCAAGATGTCTTGGACAGTCCTACAGTTTATAGTCGAAATCAGGCCTATGGTTGCCTGGCATACATGTACATGTACATGTGTGTCCTTTTGCAACCGTATACTTTTTAACTTCATTAACGCTTTTTCAACAGAGATGATGGTTGTGATTAAGTCAGCAATTTTGCTGAAAGGATGAGGGTTAATATTTCCCTGTAAGTGTTAATTGCTGATGACCAATTTGGGTATGTTGACTGAATTTTGTTTCAGGAACCTGCCGGATTCGCCCCCAGATTCAGAGCCCTACTCCCCCCCAATACCCACATCCCAATCCCTGATGGGCTCCCCGGGCGTGACCAGCCCCCTTCTCAACTGCCCCTCAGTCCAGCACTGCCAATCAACCGCTGGGAGTGGGCTCCAGCAAGGGGCTGAGCTGCCGGTAGTCGGGACCAACAGCCCCCTGGAGCCGGTGGACATCCAGGACCAGATGGTGCAGCTGAGCGAGTACCTGAACAGCGGAGCGGGTGCGGCCATGCTAGATCTGGCCAGCATCCCTTCCATGCAGCCGCAGCCGGGCCTCCTGCAAGGTGACTCCAACCTCCTCGGGGTGCTGCAGGGTGCAGGAGGGGTGCACCCGCCTGCGCCTCAGGAGGGGGGCTTGGGAGGAGTGGCTGGGGGGGTGGAGGGCGGTATACTACCCACCGCGACGGGATCCAGCGATCAGCAGGCTGGTGTACAAATGGGGAACCTCCCTCAGACAGAGTTATCAAGACGGGACAGGTTGGTCTTACTATTTGGCATATTTGGCATTGACTGCACTTTCTTGCATATCGCAGCTTTTATTGAGTATGTTATTCTCTTGTTTCAGCATATTGACCCATCAGTCCAAGAAACGCAAACACTCACTGACACCCGAGAACAGCATCAGGAGAAACTCTGAGACGCCCTTGCAAATACAGATCAAGCAAGAACCTGGTGAGTTCTGAATTCAGTTCTTATTCTCAGTTGGGCACAGATTTCCAGTTGGGTACAAATGCTTCTAGTCTAATGTTTATCAAGGTCACCACTCATGTGCCACATCTCCTTGAATTGAAAGCTTGAATTTTTTAATGTCAAACAATAATTCACCTCATAAATCCTAACTTGAGCAAGTTTCTAGCGGGGCACTCATGTTTACCATCAGCTGGGAAACGTCAAAAAGCTCAGGCCAAATCGGAAAAGTAGTGGCTGCAGCTTAAACTTGCATGAGTGTCAACTGGAGCCATAGGCTAGTGGCTACAGGCACTTCCCATAGATGCAACTCGGAGCCACAGCCAGTTGATTCGGACTCTTGCCGTAGCACCTCCTTGCACTGTCTCGACCATTTGCACCATGTGCCCAGAAGGCAGCAGGCAATGTTCCCAGCAAGAGTCCCAACTCTGATGATCTGGAAAGATTTTTCCTCGCGCTGTCATGAGTTGGCTTCACCAAGCCTTCCCAGTTGGGTACACCTGATTCGCCCAGGTTGTTCTCAAGTGGCGTCGGCAAGAATACCATTTAAATTCAGCAAGTTGTCATATTCTAGAGAAATGTTTGAAGTTTCTTTTTCAACAGGTACTGAACCCTGCGAGGGTGACCTGGGAGTTGATAATTGTAAGTATCTCGTTGTTTTCAATTCTATTTCTGTTATTGTGGATCTGTTTATGGCATTCATTGTCACTGGATTTGCCTGTGGGATTCAACTGCCAATTGTGCTTGCTATGGACATTTCTCCTGTGGTGTCACGATCGCGCTGGACCTCTGATGTGTTGTGATGGTAATGAGTGCATGGTGTTGTGATGGTAATCTACCTATTCAAGATAAACTAGTCAAGCGTGCAGCGTTCGCGCGTGCGCTTGCACATGGTTGAAGCTGCCCGTAGGGATGTATGCGATAACCGTGGCCGAGGCGGTCCACACGTAGTAGTATTTTTTACATTTAGCAGTTCATGTAGACTGGTACCCCTGAACATTGTGGAATATGTTGTCATGGGGGAACTTATTATTAACTTACAGGTCAAGCCATTTGTATAGCCAATCCCAAGCTTTGTCATGAATATTCATCGTAGGGACGCCTACATTTGTTTAAATTGAGTATTCAATACAGTCAGCACCAATGTTTATGTGGCCCCTCTGTTAACAATCCTACTTCTGAAACTTGCAAATGTTCCTCCTAAAAGTTCATTGAGTACATGTAGTTGAATCATGTATATTTAAAGTTGAGTTTGCTGCAATGAAAATGTTGCTCATGAATATTCATGTGGTAATTTGTCTACGTTTCAGCCATTTTCATGGACCAAGAGTTTGAATATGCAGCAGGGGATGGCATGGCCTATACGGACACGCCCTACCAGTTCATCAAGTGGCTTCCATATCAGAACAACAAGTGGAACACTCTGGTGGACGCCGCTGGCCAGGAATTGTAAGAATGTGTTTCCCCGATGACTTGTTTTTAATATGGGAAATTGCGCAGAGCCTGGTTTGTCGTTCCTGGAATTTGATGCCGAGAAACTGTCATGGCAAAAGTCACCAGAGCTGAGATCTCTCCAGTGTTTTCTCTTTTAACATAGATACGTGCTGTTTACGATACAACAGAATCCTCCAGTGGCAAAGTCAAGATTATGACAAGATTCTTGACTGTCCAGAAAATCTGTCTGGACAACAAACTACAGGCAGTTTATGGATTTTGTTGGCTTTTTAAGCAGGCTCACCGAAGTTAAGAGGGCATTTCAATCTAGTCCTAGATCCAGTAAAATCCACCGGGACATTTTTGAGGATTTCACAAGATTGGGGGCGAGAGAATCTGGTCACGTTTGATTTTTGTGGGGCTTGAGGGCCCTTGTGACGTAGAAGAGTTTTGAGAATTCAGGAAGGTAGCCAATAAGAAGAAACCCCAAGGTATTCAGGGTCAAGCAGACGGTGTACCCTAGCGTACCTGGGTCATTCTATAAATTCATTGTCCAAAAGTGGGACATTTGTGTGTCGCTGTTACACCGGACCTGTGTAATTTGACATGGAGATATCACTGAAATTGATTTCCAACTGTTTCTTTTTGTTTGGCAGGTAATTTGCATTAATTCATCACTCTTAGAAATAGACCATATTCACCGGGGACACAATTTCAGTCGGATTCCCTAACGTAGTGTATTCATATGAAAATGTTAAATTTAAAGAACCAGACTCTATTCTACGACTTCATTCCGACCCCCCAAACCCACCTGCTACCATCCCATTAAGGGTCTTCAGATGTACTCAATACGTTCAGGCGTACGACTGAAATTGGGTACCCTGCAAATGCCGTCTATTAGAGACTGTGTCCTGAACTTACAAAATCTTATGTCAGATGTGACAGGGGCACCCCGAAATTGGACCCTTAAATCATAGAATGACCCCATGACTTGTTGATTTTGTCTCCTTAGACCACCACCCACGTACCGTGTGGAAGCGGACAAGGGCTTCAATTTCTCCATTGTGGATGACGCATTCGTTTGCCAGAAGAAAAATCACTTCCAGGTATTCAGGTCTTGGCCTTTGAGACCACGACCCAGATTTTGTAGAGTTGCCGAGGCAGAAATTACCATGTATTAGGTTTTCTATGCCACAAAAAAAAAAATGAGTGGAGAATTTTTTCCAGTATTTCCGCAACGATTAGATGAAACTTCTAAGTTCCCTTGACGTAGCGCGTGTTCAGGTTCTTGCAAACATTGTATTTATAACCTTGTCCTAATGGCTCCTTTAATATTTGCCGAAAGAAAGATGGACATGTGATGGACGTGGGATGGCACGATTACTAGGCTGAGTTGAGCCCAAGTCGCAGTTGTAGACTTTATGAGTCACATGTTTTTTGTTACCGTAGGTCACCTGCCATATCGGCATAAACGGCCCTGCCAAGTACGTCAAGACGGAGAACGGCCTGAAAGCGGTAGACAGCTACCAGATCCACCTGCATGGCATCAAGGTGGAGGCCCTCAATTCCTACATCCGCATTGAGCAGTCCCAGGCCAACCGCAGCAAGAGGCCATTCCAACCTGTCAGGTAACTGAAAGGCTTTCCTTACCAACTCGAATAGCCTGGTTAGACCACCACACTGTTAACCTAGAGGTCGTGGGTTCGAGTCCCACCCGTTCAAGTGCGTGTGCAGCCTTTCCCACAAGCTGTTTGGAGCGCTGGGCATACAGTGCTTAATGAAACTGTGTCAGCAGGTTTCCTTTCTAACTCTACCAACTGGACAGTCAGCATTAGTCAAGAGGTCATGGGTTCGGGTCCCAGTTGAGCAAGCTGCGAATTTTTTGCTGCAAGTTTCTGGGAAGCGTTGAGTATTGAGCGGTCAATCGAAGGACGCTATCAAAGAGTTCAGCGAAGGTGGATGGTTTTGGGAAAGGGGTCTTTTCCATAACTGAGGGGAGGAGGCACGGAATCCGTTTCCCAGACCTCAGTTGAGCAAACGGCGATTGAATTGAAACTTGGTGTGCGTAGAGATGCATCCACTTGAACGACATACAACAGTTCCGTGCTGATTTGTTTGGCTAGAAAAGCACAGAAATTACTGAGGTGACTTATGAAGCCCTGGTATTTTGGAATCGCTTCAGAATTGACGTGCGGCCAGACCAGATCACCAAGGTGACTATCGGCCGGCTTCACTACAGCGAGACGACGTCCAACAACATGCGCAAGAAGGGCAAGCCCAACCCAGACCAACGCTTCTTCATGTTGGTGGTGGCCCTGCACGCTCACAGCGGTGACCAGAGTCACCTCTTGGCCGCTCATGTCTCGGAGCGAATCATTGTCAGGGTGGGTTGTCAAACACTGGCTAACATTTTGCATTTCATAAGTAAATATTTACGCAAAATAATAGCACAGAGAAGCAAGGAGCAACCCAAAAAGGAAGTCTAAATTTTGTGCTCTGGCCTGGTCAGTGTACGTTAGAGGAAGGTTTTTCTTCTGTTTGGAAAATCTTAGACTGGTGTCAGGCCCCTCCATTGTATTTGTACAGTACATAAGATCCAAGATCCTCACGTGTGAAAAGAAAGTATGGCACAAGTGAATCCGCACTTCTTTGTTTGCGCGTTTTTCTGGTGAATTATATCTTCAGAAAGGATAGTGTTGAAATGCATTTGAATGAAAGTGTTTATATATCTGAATCATTTTAACAGGCCTCCAATCCTGGACAATTTGAGAATGATGTGGATGTCGCATGGCAGAAGGGGCAGACACAGGACTCCATATATCACATGGTATGTATA